GGGGGGGAGGAGGGGTACCAATTAACCCGCGAAAGCGGAAAACGCCCGCGGCGAGATCGGATTACGCGGCCGAACGCGTAGCGAGACGATTGCATCGCCGGTCCGCGGGTCCGGTCATCCGCAAATCCGGCGGCGGGGAGAGGAAAAACGACCGCCGGGGGGGATTCTCGATATCGATGATAATTCCCACACCTGTGGAAAACGCATTCCGTGCAACTGCGTGCAACTGATGGCGGTCACGGCGCGCGGATTCCGCGGCAAGAAGTGGCGATCGTTATTCTCGGGAAATACCGTACGCGGGACTTCGCGGGAACAAGATTCCCGGTGTTTAATAGAAACGACGGTCTCTTCCTCTCACGTACGTCCTCGAACAGTTAAATGTTATCGACGTATCAGTTTGTTGCACGAGGAATAAATAAATATATTACGTTATTACGTCACGCAATGCCATATCGTAATCGTCGGAACTGACTCTTATCTCCGCTTTTCGCCGGCCAAATTGTCCACGGGACTGGGGACGACTGTCGTGGTAATGTTCGGGATTGCTCAATTATTTCCTAGTTTTCTATTGCGTTTTCCAGGGGAAACGGAATTATTCTGATCGGAATTCACTTCGATTTCCATGATGGGTAACCGGGACGATTTTTCTACGTTACGTACTTCTGCATCTCGTTCACTCGTGCGACAAATTGACTTTCGTGTCATCCGAAACCTGGCTTTGTCAGGGAAATATAGTGACAGAAATAAACCCCGTGAGCGCCGCCGATCAATGGTGAGCCACGGCGAGGTTAACATAACTAAATTCCACGCTCGAATTCTACGTCACAAGCTCGGACAAAGCCTCTTCGGGAACTATCCGGGATAAATACAAAGGTACGCCCGCGCCGTACTGTTTCCTAAATCGGTATGTAATAATTAAATATGTGTTAAAGATATGCGAATTACATTTGTACCCTTTAAGCCCGTATCAAACTATACGGATTGAGATTAAAGCCAACGGCATGCGATACGATTTTTCCTACTGGATTGCTTGCGAGAGCCAATAAGGATGCAGAGTTTAAAGCCAACAGCACACGATACTACTTTTCCTACTGGACTGTTTACGAGAACCAATAAGGGGTGCTTTCCAGCTACAGAACACAGTCATACACCGTGTGACACAATGTTACACAGGGTCGACTTGTAGCTGAAACGCTGTTTAGCTTTTTTATTTTACCGCCAGAGTGCAAGGCATTCACTTTAATAATTTGTCACTAAATTTTCCGGTGTATATGCACGGAAAATAGTGTATCTGAATTGTTCCGAATATAACCTTAAAAATTTTCCTACCGGAATACCACACCGGAGAAAAATAAATGGTATATGTAAAAATGTTGGTATCCATGGAGTGACACAAAAATGCGAACACAGCATTTTAGCTGTGTACGCTTGTGTCGACTTGTGTCGTAGTTGGAAAGCACTGGGTCGTACACTGTGTTACACAGTGTCGCCTGTGTACGTTGCTGGAAAGCACCCAAGGATGCAGAGTTTTAGATCACGTGACTTAAGGCTAAATCCTGATTGGCTCTCGTAAGCAATCCAGTAGGAAAAGTAGTATCGTGTGCCGTTTTAGAGTAAAAGTCGCTAAACTTGAGATTCAGTAAACTTCATTCCGATTGGTCAAGTTTCAATCTAAGGCCTGTTCTTTATTACTGCACTACTGAACTAGTGCAATAAGTTAAAATGAAACAAATAGATTACCTCTCATTCCAACTCATTGCACCAGTGTGCACTAGTTCAGGAGTGCAGCAATAAAGAACAGACCCCTAATCTCAATCCCAATCCGTGGTCCGGTACGGGCTTTACCGAGTCTCTTTCCGCGACAAACGCGATTGTCTCTTTTAGTGACATCAGTCTTGGAGCATCGGCGTCTCGCGATTTTCGCGAGAAGGAGGTACCTGACGAGGGAAGGACTCGCCGGCAGACGTAAATGAAGACCACGACAGTGTACACAACTGCGTTCCCCGAAACGCAGAGCGCACCGGGTAAAAACCGGCACCGAATGTCGGATGCTCTTCTCGCTTTCGTGTTTACTTAGCCGCTCCGATACTCGCGTGATACCCGGCCGGTTTCTCTCTCCTCTTCTTTCCTGCGTCCCGGCAGCTCTCGCCTATTCTTTTTTTTTCTTTCGCGACTGCAGGAACACGCGCGCGCGCGCGCGCGTGCAAAGAAGAACTGAAGTATGTGAATTCGATGACGCCGCGAGATTAATTTGATATTGCTTCATCCGAGCCGGCGCAAACATTATAATCGCAGATATATGTTGAGTGCGATCGTCAAACGTAAATATATATTTAATATAATTTCAACTAAAAACTAAGGATTTACATTT